TGTTTGTTTTTTTTACTTCAGAACGCGGAAATCTGCTGACATTTACGAAAATATCCATTTCCTGTCTTCTTTGGAGAGACCGATGGAAACTTCATGGAGAAATACAGCATCACGCCATCGTGATAACGTACATGTTTATGACAATTGATCGGTGTGAGGATACTTTAGTGTAGATAAGCCCACTTCAACATGTTTCAAATGACATACAAGTATATCAGTGTATCTTCAGGGGACTTCGGGTTGCTCAAATTCCATGAAAGAAAGTGCAGCACTCGGAATCTGGATGATATGCACACGATTTGAGGTATATGTTTAAAGTTACATCGAGTAGTCCTCCATTAAGTTTGATCAATTTTTTTTTAAAAGATGACAACCAGAGGCGAGATTTCTCTTCGGGATATTGCTCATAAGATAACATTCTTCCAAAGCCGTGCATGTTTCATTTGTGTGAAACATTCGTTGTTGAGAACATTAGATGTAAACATCGCCAAATTGTGCAATATCTGATTTTGAGCTTTTTTCGCGAACTGCCTCTATAAAAAGTGGAGGCAGGCCCGCAGATATTTTTACATATTTAAAACTAGAATATTATAACCAGCTAGGTGGGTAGTTTCTGTTCCAGAATCGGTGTACTTTTGGAGAAATTCACATAAACGTTTTCCATGTTTTACCCGACAACAAAAATGACCGAAACTGTACCGAGATGAATAATCTATTGGTGTGTTCACATTCACTCTCAGGGAAAATTGAATGAGTCAAAGTGAAGACGACTGATGTCACTATGTATGGTAGAAGTGCCAATTTGTAATGTTGTAATTAGCTTGAGATAGAGAAATAAACATTTCACTCTTTTTTTTGCGACGTTTTTGTATGAAAATGAGGCCCCAAGCCTCGAACAAGCAGCCGTTGTTACCATGGCAACAAGTGTGCTGCGACCTTTAAAAAGTGCATTTTTGTGCATCCCCCTGAGTGCCTAACTGCATGCAAAATTTGAAGGGGGGTTGAAAATTTTCATTTGCCAAGATGTTTGATTCTTACAGAGACTTTTTCTTAATCTTTTCACTCAATATTCTCACCACATGAATGTCACCGTGTGTTATCTCTGCCAAGATATGTTCCCTCAAGGAAAATATGCCAAGACCATCTCTAGGAATGCGCAATACATTATTGCCTTTAAAAATCCTAGAGATAAAGTGGCATTGCGCACCTTACTGCTACAGATATACCCGGCCAAGTGGCTACCTGTCACGGATATATATGATGCATGTACGGACAGACCCTATGGTTATTTGTTATTTGAAGTACACCCTGCAAGTAGAGATTCTACAAGACTTTTAAGTCACTTGTACGAAGGCACGAAGGGTGTGTACGCTGTTACAGAGTAAGATAAATAAGCAAGATGCCTGGTTATAAGCGCAGTATGCCTACAACCCAAAGGAGAAGAGTGAAAAGAAGAGTAACCAAAAGAGGACAAAAAGGAGGTATCCTACTATTAGCGGCACTCATTCCAGCCCTCATTGCTGGAGGTAAAGCATTGGGTTTAGGTGCCCTTGGAGGAGCTGCATCGTTTGGGGCTAAAAAAGGCTTAGACGTCCTTACAAAGAAAAAGCGATGATTAGTAGTTTCAAGAGAAATGTGGATTTTTTAAAATCTATTTTACAAGAGAAAAATAGAAGGCGTCGTATCGAAAAAAGTAAAGATCAAATCAATGCCAACAGTGAGTTCACGTTGAACATGTTGAAGAAAAAGATACCTTTTGTCACCGCCCACCGTTGCCAAACTCAAGAAATATAGAGTGATGTTGAGAGAGTTGGGTAAACTGGGTAACTCTTTAAAAAAGAGACGTCGATTACTTGTGAATCAAACAGGTGGTAGCTTTTGGAGTGGTATGAACGACGCATTCTGTCAGTGTTTTAAGAGATCATGACTGTTGCTGTGCAAGAGGGTACAAATGAAGTGGACACGGGTATAAAGTTTAATTTGCAAGGATTCACCTAAGTGTAGACTCAAATAGCTAGACTGTTTTTGTGTTTGCATATACATGTGGTGGAACCCTTGTGGCGATTATGGAGACATTCTTAACAGTGAAACCTGATGAGTTTCGAGCTTTGGTAGATTATTACAAGGGAAAAACTACCGAAGGTACTCTTCTGGACAAAGCTGCACGCGTGGCCACCGAAGCAAACCTGTTACTAGAAGATACATACACTCCTGCTGCTTTAAAAAAAACCTGTAGTAAAAGAATTGTTAATGCAAGAACGCAAGCTTATTGACAAATTGAGACGGATTCCTATTACCCGTGGTGTAGAACCTCCACCTCGAGACGACGAGGGTAATCTCACGGAGGGGTTGCAAAGTGGATTGTTAAAAGAGCTCATTAAATCCATAAATATGAAGGGACAAGCCACCATACCTCAGATGACGCCCAAGAGGGAACCTGTCACACCTACGAGGATCAAGAACGAACCCGTCACCTCTGTGAAACCGGGAATGTCCAAGATTCCTGTTCTCACACGTCCATCCCAAAAGATACAATAAAGGAAACGAAAACTTCCTGTTCTCACACCGCAAAAGCATCGCACGGAGTTGGAGAGGTGTGAGTTGTTTGGTTGCAGGAAGAAAACAACAGTGCGTTATCGTCGTATTGTTAGTGGTACTATTGAAGAGAATTATAGTGTATCACGACCGGCACATAATCTCACAGAGACCAAACGTGGTACGGTGTGGAGTTATGATAGGAGGCTCACTACATCCAGTTTGGCGTATTACAGATATTAGATCCCATGGAAAGACTGATTTGCGAAGAAATATCATAGATTTCTTCTTAGCGATATGAACTGCACCTTTATCAACACTAAGAGAAGTACATACTTGAACTTACCTTACCCACATACCAACATACATACATACATACATACATAAACTTTATTAAAGCGTTAAACAGTCTAGATAATTTAAATTAAACGAATTAAATAGAACATAGTGGAGCACACCCCCAATACACAAGGCAGCCAGACAGCAGAAGCCACTATGCGTATCCACCAATCTAAGATGAGCACGCACAGCAGGCACACTTACCGTCCAGCAAGCCAAGTGCATTGAGAGCACGCACCCCTTTCCTGGAAGCCTGAAGACTGGTCTTACTGTGTAGTTCCTGGCTAATCTTGCCCCATATGTGTGGGCCTAAATATCTAATACTATGCTTACCATACTTAACAGTATTGTGTCTAGGAACAGGAAAATCACTTCTTAAGTTATAATGCCTATCTTGCTGAAAAAACATATTACATACATGCTCTGGAGCTAGTGAACTTTTAACCTTATACATTAAAATTAGTATAGTAACCGTCTGTTCTCAGAACTGGAGAGTCTACCCTTCTCTAAGAGTTCCTCATACGTAGCATTCCTGTCATTATATATAGCACGTAATGCCCGTTCTTGCACTCTTTCTAATTTTCGTGCATCTGAAGCTTTGCAGAAATGCCACACTATGTGACAATATGTTAAGTTAGGTAAAATTGCCGATTTATATAATTGTAACTTGGCTTCTCTGGGAATCGTATTTCTAAGACGTACTAAAATACCAACTTTCTTACTTACCTTTTTGCGTATATCACTTATGTGAGCACTAAAACTAAGTTCATCATCTAATGTTACTCCTAGTAACTTCAAGTCTGGTGATGATTTAATAACCTGTTTATCAATCTTGACATTGATAGATGGAATGTTCTCATTTTTGTTCTTCCTGCCTAATAACATTAAATTGTACCAGTCATAATTTCCCTTCAAAAAGTTATCTTTGTACCATTTTGATATAGTGTGCCC